AAAGGGCATGGAATTCTAGTTACTTTCAATGGGCATATTTTTGGCATCTCCATTTTCGTCACAAATGTTCATGCATAGCTTGTATTTGCTTATTCAGATAACTAACTGCTCTACTCTGCTTCCTTGCCGATGATCAATTATCCTTCTCCTCCTCGGAACGAAAATAAACTGCGTGGGATTTGCTTTGCTTCATCGCTTCGTTTTGCCCCTTCGTTCCCATTGGACATGATCCTCGGCGTTTGCACAACGGATAGAGCTGACTTACTGGTATTCCCAGTTTGCACATTTTCCCATCCGTTCCCGTTAATATCGTATCTCGTAAAAATGATTCATGTCGTCTGTCCACGTAGCATACAGTATAATACAGGCATTAAATGTGCTGTTCATCCCAAAGAGATATTTGTTAGCCCCATCCCTGCCAGGCAGCACATGACAAGTAGCTGTTTTCGGAGCGGGAGCTTCGTCGGAGCCAGCCTAGTTCGCTGATCGATATGTAAGATCTAGTGCCAACGGGAGGATAATCGGGGTCTGATCGCCGAGTAAGAACATAGTGAAGCGTCAATCAGGTGAAGAACATATGCCTGATCTACTTCTTTGCCTTGCGTTTTCCTTTCCGCTTCGAACTTGATGTCGGGGGATCTGGAACGCTGACTGTTCCCTCTACGACATCTTCGCCCTGGTTCTTCAACCGTTCAGTCCCGCTAATGAAGAATGTAAGATCTCGATTCTGCTCTGCCAGATCCTCGTTTGCGGCCTTCAGTTTGGTCACCTCTGCATCAAGAAATTCTACTCGCTCCATTAAGCTGGCATTCATCGTCTTCTCTTCCCGCCATTGCTTCTCCATCGTCCGAGACATGGACTCGAACTTTTCTGCTCGGCGCTCGGCGCGCGCCTTGTCACGCTCCAGAGACGGGATGGTTTCTCGAGTTAAACAATCATACTGCGACTGTAGCTTCTCCATATCTCTGGCAAGCCGTTCTGCTGCCTCCTGGGCGGATAATGCGCTTGCGCTGGCCTTGGAAGCTTTATCTGCGGCACGCTCAACTTGCTCTTCAAAGTAAACGCGCTGGCTCTCAAGTTGGCTGGTGAGTAGGTGGGTATACTCGACGCTGATGTTTTCGAATTTTTCTCGCGGCACGGCATCGCTCCAATCTGGAGGATCGAGCGCGCTGTCTCCCCTGGCTGGAAGTTCTAGGAGCTTGCCATCTGATTTACCCTGGATGATACGGTGGACATAGCCGTCTCCTAGGTAATCCCAGACACGCTGGGAGGTGAGATCCATGGCGAACGAGTGGGATGTCTCCTTGTAGTGATCGAAGGCGTGCGCTCCATCGTACCGCCCACAGCCGATGTTGCCACATATCAGACATATCCAGAGATTAACTTCTGAATGGCAGACGCTACACTCGCTCGGTCCCTCATCCATGGCAAAGTTGACATTCCGCTTCCCTAGATCGTCCTGCGTATACCGACAGACCGGGCACCCACTTCCTTTCCATCTCTGTAGACAAGTGCAGTGAAAAACATGCTGGCAGAGAATCGTAAGTAAACCTGATGTCTCGTCCATACGCTCGAGGCATACAGGACAAGTAGGCAATTCTATCAACGATGGTGTAGGTGGAGCCAGCGGTTTACTCGACATTGTTGAAGGTGCATCCGAAAAGGGAAACGGATCGTTCTTCATATCGGGGAACTTTGACTCCGCTGCAGAAGAACTAACCTGTATCTCCACGTCTTTGACAAATACCACATGGCAAGCTTCAGGCTATGGTAGCAAGTCAGCAGAGAATCATTTCAAAATAAAGAGCACAAAAAAAGATACCTCCATGCTATTAAATAGCTTCCCGTTCCAAGTATTCTGCCATTCCTTGGCCTTTTTCCCACTCCGAAACTTCATTAGAACCATATATCGATTTGCCCTCGCAGTCTTCACCATCCGGAAATGACTAACGTCCTCCATCGTCTGTTCACCTACATACCCCAGAAAATCCGAGGGAGAGAGGTATGACGGGACTGCAAGAATACATAACGTTGTACAATCGTCCAACGAAAGCGTTTCTTCCGCTGGCCCACCTGCGGCTCTGGAACCTGACGCATGAGCAGGACAAGACGCAGATGGATGGTTCGAAGCAGGCGCATGTGAAGAAGACCCTACACCCTGCAAATAGAACAGATCCTGATCATGATTATCCTGGCCTAGCGAAGGTGTTTCCTCTGCATCACGGTAAAGATGAACAATCCCATACACGCTATCCGTCAAACCCAGATCAAGAGGGACATATTTGCCCTTCGTAGCTAAGCCGCTAATAACATTCGACCCTATGCCTCTGGATATCTCGTTATGAACCATATCGACGCCCTGTATGGTGAGGGTGTCTGTTCGGGGATCGTGATCTGTATGTATCTCCGTGTCTTGTAGGGACGTGGTAGCTAGGTGGTTCGCAAGATCGGTGGCAACGTTCGGCGAGGGTTTGGCTTTCTTCCTACGAAACGGCCGTACAGATTCACGTAGGGATTTGAGCGTTAAAGCGTATTCTTCGAGAGAGGTCTCAGTGTTCGGATGTTTTTGTGCGTCCTTTGAAGGTGTATGCGCTGTGCTGGCCTGGGGGTGGGAGAGGACTTCGAGAATGAGGTGGTAGAAGTAGGAGGGCATAACTACCACCGTACCGCCCAGTGATGTGCTCTAGACCACAATACTGCTGGGAATCCCCTCACTCTGCACCCAATAATCCAATCACCAAGGCCTGTTCGGCTTCGTCGGACTCATGAAGTGGATATATTCCTGCAGCTTTGCTGATAACGAGTAGAGATAGCTCCGTAAGTTTCTTGACTAACTGCTGGCGCCTAGCCTAACTAGTTAGTTCGCGCCTAGCGCTTAGTTAAGTTTTAACGACGGCAGCTCCGCTCATCCGCTGCTCCAGGCAAACACTTTTGCTGGCTGCTAGGTACGGGAACAGTCTGTCACTCTTTCGCTGGTACGATGGACCAGCTCACCAGCCACATACTCGAGAAGAAAGTCAAAGAGTTCATTGACTCAATCGAGCCATCTCTAGTCTGCGAGTTGGCCTCCTCCTTGCACCCTGAGAAAAAATCATGTAAAATCTTCTCAGACCCAAAGAAAGGGAGCTATAATGTCTGCTTTCCCATTGTGTTTACGGAGCAGATCCCCGACGCTGCCGATTCAGCGTCAACGCAGGAGACGACCGAACGATGGATGATCCGAATTCCCTTGCTTCCGCGTCTCGCTTTTCCCGAGGAGAAGCTGCGAAGCGAGATAGCAACAATGAAGTAAGGATAGGAAACTTCAAGATGTCCATTGCTGCATTCAAGCTATTGTCAACATGTAGCTAACGGTACTGTTCTATTAAATAGGTTCATCGCCGAGAAAACCACGATTCCTATTCCACGGCTGTACCATTATTCCATAAACCGGGATAACCTCCTTAACCTTCCATTTATGGCCGTAGAGTACATCATGGGCAATACACTCCATGGAAGGATATCAAAGCTTCCTAAAGAGCAGGAGCTGTATCTTTACGGCCAGCTTGCAGATATATACCTCCAACTTCACCGTCACCAGTTTGATCGTATTGGTGCCTTGACGCTAGACAGCAATGACGAAAACTGGGTTTTTGAACATAACCGGCCGCTCACTATCGAGCTGAACGACCAAGAACTCAGCGGCCTGAAGAGCTCCGAGATAATTCCAGCCCATCAGACCTACAGTTCCACGATTGACTACGTCTATACTGTTATGAAATTGGTCTTCAACGACTTCTACCATTCGAGAGACAGCGTTTTCAACGAGACGGATGCACGGAACTATCTATATGGCATATTTGCATCGCAAGGCATTGTGATGGAATGGGTAGACGAAAGGGACAACCATGGACCATTCCTTCTGATGCACGGGGATCTTCGACCTCCCAATATCTTCGTGGATGATGACCTGAACATCATCTCAGTCATCGATTGGGAATGGAGCCACACAGTCCCATCGCAAATGTTTATTCCACCGTCCTGGATATGTGGCCAGGAACTTCCAGCTGCAACTACGAGGCCCTACCACCTTGTACTTGACGTATGCGTTTCTCAGTTTCAGCGAGCCGCAAGAGATAGGGAAGACCAACATTATAACCCAGATAAGAAGCTGAAATTATGTCTTCCCCTGGTCAAACTATGGAACAGACATCTCAAATCGGAAAAGTTGTTCATTGCCTACGCTCTTTTAAAACCACGCTACCTTGGCAATGTCTACTGGAACCTGCTGGACAACATATATCACGGAACTGACAGTGGAGAAAGAGTGGATAGTTTCTATAAACTCAAAGTGCGTAAACGACAGGAAAAAGAACTGCAGAGAGTACTGTCCGACCTCGAGGCTTATAAGAAGGAGTTAGCACTGGCAGGATTAGAGCCAACCCAGCCGGCTGCTCCTCTGGTACTTAAGCCAGCGGAAGGAAAGGATTCCAACACCTTGTCTAAGAGCGGCGAAGATGCGGATTCAGCTATCTACAGGATTTGGAAGAAACTCGACTTCAAAAACATCAAAAACACATTGAGCCCACTTCATTGCTGGGTTCCCTGTTCGCTGGTTGGTGTCAGTATCATTGTCTGTTGTATCATAGCTAAACGGCGACGATGAGGAGGGGGGCCTTACTTTATTTGTCTGCCTTAGAGTTGCTGTTCTAACAACTCGATAGCGGCCTGCAGGGCATCTATTCTTTGTCTGACATCGTCCAGTTCCTGCTCGTAATGTGCCAGCTCCTCCTCAGGAGACATCGTAGCGTATCGGTCTCGCTGTCCCCGCGCATTTCGGGCACTGGAGGACATCAACTCCATCGCTGCGATGTCGCTCCGGATGGTGTCCATGAACGCTTCGATTCTGACAGCCTCCTCCTCGAGCTGCTTCTGCTCGATGAGCCTCATTTGAAGCTCCACCTTAATATCTTCGGTCAAGGACGAGGACATTTTTCTTTCACCTCCCATTAGCCATTCAATCACATCATCTTTTGGAACGGGTTCCTTACGCAAAGTTTTGCTTCGATGTGAGCTTTCAGGACAATATATATGATTTCAGATTCTTGGTTCTTCGAGATGTCTTGAGATAGAGAAGAGAGAGAGAAAGAGAAGGAAGGAAGATGGGAATTCACTGCCTCTTTATAGACCTGAGATGGCTACCCCTCTCTCCCTTTGCAGTCATATATCCAACAGAGCCGTACAGGTGTATCGGCCAATTGAACGAGAAGGGCCAGCCAAGGGGGGTGTTGCTGCCTAGATTGAGACAGGGTATATTCATTCCGGCCAAATGACTGCATATCTAGGCTGCAAAGGACCCCAGAAGGGCAAGGAGCAGGGAGATCGTTAGGATGTTGGATGTTGATTTTGAGGGTGAGAGAGTTGAATAGAGTGATATAGATGGGAGGAAGGGTTGAATGGTTTGAATGTTCTGAAGATGTATTTGAGATTTGAAGGACTGACTATAGAATACGTTGTAGGTTTAGAATATTAGAATAGAGTATTGGAAGCAAGCATTTAAGGTACCGGCCAGATGTTCCGAACCATGGAGCCTTTTGATCCATCCGCCCTTATCGATAACTAACTAGCCATCCTTCATAGCCATCTTCCTCCAGAGCAAGTTCTACAAGAACAAATCTACGCACTGCACTACAACAGCAACAACAAAACAAATGCTTCAAAAGAGCTTTATTGAGGTGTGTTTAGGGGAGTAAACTAGATTTATCTAGAAGTACTTTAGGAAGCGTAAAAAAAAGAACGGACGTGCCAGTCCCAGAATCAGTCGAGCAAGAGAGTTTAGGTAAAAGCATCATCATCCGTTCCCCCAACGCCATTAAAAAGAAACCGGTGTAGTTAAAAGTGGTGAAAAAAAAACGCATCTCATCCCAAGAAGTTAAAAAGAAAAGGTCATTACCCAGCAACGTTCGAACACCCATCCATCTAGTTACCGCCTCGCAACCGCAGCACCAAATGCAACGTGCTCTCCTTCTGGATGTTGTAATCGGACAGCGTCCGGCCGTCCTCGAGCTGTTTCCCCGCAAAGATGAGACGCTGCTGGTCTGGCGGAATACCTTCCTTGTCCTGGATCTTTGTCTTGACGTTGTCTATCGTGTCGCTGGATTCGACCTCGAGCGTGATGGTTTTGCCCGTCAGCGTCTTGACGAAGATCTGCATGCCTCCACGCAGACGCAGGACAAGGTGGAGAGTTGATTCCTTTTGGATGTTGTAGTCCGAGAGGGTCCGGCCGTCCTCGAGCTGTTTTCCTGCAAAGATCAGGCGCTGCTGGTCTGGTGGGATGCCCTCCTTGTCCTGGATCTTGGTCTTGACGTTGTCGATGGTGTCGCTGGATTCGACCTCAAGCGTGATGGTCTTGCCGGTCAGAGTTTTCACGACTGGTTGGGAAATGGTGTTAGTTGTTGTTTCTGGTTGGTGGGTGGTGGGTGGCGAGGGGTAAAATTGCGTAAAACTTACAGATTTGCATGCCACCACGGAGACGAAGGACGAGGTGAAGGGTGCTCTCCTTCTGGATGTTGTAGTCGGAGAGGGTGCGGCCGTCCTCGAGTTGTTTTCCTGCGAAGATCAGGCGCTGCTGGTCTGGGGGAATGCCCTCCTTGTCCTGGATCTTGGTCTTGACGTTGTCAATAGTGTCGCTGGACTCCACCTCGAGGGTGATAGTCTTGCCGGTGACTGCAAGCCGTTAGCACTCGACCTTCTTCCTAACAGCACTGTTGTCTGCCTGGTTCAACTTACGGGTCTTGACGAAAATTTGCATGGTGATGGACGTCTATGTGTTGTAACGAGAGCAAGGGAGGGTACAAGTATATGATGGCTGGCGCGGGGGGAGCTGATGGCACTGGGGAGTTTGGTGTCGAGAAGTGGCCTGATGCGTGATGCTTGATGGGGTTGTAAGGAAGAGGAAGAAAGGGAGTCATGGCAGGCGGCGGGCGGGCCTTTTATAGGGCGGCTGCGCCTTTGCGGAGAGGGGCGGTGACTGCCCGCGCTAAGGCCGAAAGCGGAAGCCAGGGAGGCAGAAGCTGCTGGAAGGTGCGAGAACCAATCAGATGTCGAGCAGTGATGAGTCAGCGGAACAAGCCACCGGCCAGGCTTCAGCCTCGGCAGATGACGTAGAGGTCACGTGACAGGCATCAACCTTGAAGGCGCAGCAGGAAGACGCAGCAGGTGAAGTGAAGTGAAGTGAAGTGACGTAGAAGTAGATATAGATGAAGTGAAGGAATTAAACAATTGATTGATGCAGATATAGCTAGGACCCGAGATGCAGTATGCTAGGGAAGCGAGAGAGTAAGACAAGGAGGGAAAGTCAGGTATGTAAGAGCTGCGTAAATACATCACCAAGTAGATATAGATAGTTATCCATAGCAAGATTTAAATTATTAAATAACTCCAAAAAAAAAAAAAAGATAAAGCAATTCTTCTTTCTTTCATCTTCATCTCAGGTCATAAGTAAGGTAAGTAGGTAAGGATAAGTAATCAGATCATTCGTCGATCCGCATTCTCTCGCAGGACCAAATTTTTTCTTTTCTCATCTCTTCGTCAGTCGGGAATCAAACTGAACGCAACCAGTAAAAAAGCAATAGTCAAAAAACACAGGAAGGCGAAGAAGAAGAAGAAGAAGGATTAAAATGGTGGAAACTCGGAGTGTGGTGTATGGGGTTCAACTCGACCCGTCAAGCCTGCACATGGGCAGAGGCGAAGGCGACGGGGAGTGAAAGCGAAACAAGTAGGAAAGCAAAGAAACAAGAA